TCTCCTTCGTTCTACTAACCAGGAAACCAAGAGTAACTAAGAAGTAGCCCTCCTCTTTCCTTGTCCTCAACACTTGCTCTTCAGACATATTCTCTCCGCCTTGAGCAGCGGGTTGGACTAGAGGACCTTTCAGGTCCCTTCCAGGCCTAGCAGTCTGTACTGTAGGGTCTCAGGTGCAGGTTCCAAAAAGCGATTAAAGGCAAAATGCTGTCAACAAGCTTTCCCTCTTAGTCGTCTTGAAAAAGGCAACTGGGCTTTTTTCCTGGAAGACGTTTCGCTTCTCCTCCAAAGGAGCTTCTTCGGTTCTAACCGAAGACCGAAGTCAGAACGGAAGAAGCCCCCTTGGAGGAGAAGCGAAATGTCTTCAGAGGAAAACAAAGAGAACCCAGTTGCCTTTTGAAAAAGGGCAACCAAAGGACTTTGGGACAACCAAAGGACTGAAAGTCTGCACAGACATTTCCCTTCTTAATGTGCTTTTCTCCTATAAGTTGCAGCAGTGCGTCTCAACCTGGACCACTTGAAGACGGGTGGACTTCAACTCCCAGAATTCCCCAGCCAGCCATGCTGGCTGGGGAATTCTGGGAGTTGAAGTCCACCCGTCTTCAAGTGGTCCCAGGTTGAGAAAAATTGCAGAGAAGCCGCAACAATAGAACAGCAGGGGAAAAAAAAAACCCTGGATTTCCTTTCCATGTCTGCCGGGTGATTCTAGGATAGCAATCTATACTTTTGATTGCAGATATGATGTTCCAAGGACACAACATGTGCATTGGGAGAAGGGGGGGAAAGCCCCAGGCACCCATAGCCACAACGTTTATTGTTCTATTGTCTCCCTGGTCTTCTTGGATTTTATTGTTCTATTGTCTCCCTGGTCTTCTTGGATACGTCCCACGGTGAAATATACATGATTTATGAGTGTTAATCACCCGGTAAAAAATAGCGTGTCTATTAATACAGAGCCATGTAACTTGTCCCACTCTTTGAACCGTTTGGATGTCGCGGCTGAAAGTCCAGCCGTGCCACAGTTTGACGCCAAGCTTGATGCCGTTCACCCACGTTAATTTCACAGAAATATAATTGACCATGATTTGATCCCTAATTTTCCCTCCGTCAGGAAATCAAATCCTCTGGCAAACACCGCGATTCGTGGGAAAAAATGGCAGATGTGAATTCTAAATCTCGGACCGTGAAATGGGCAGCAAACAAATGTGATCGCAGGCAGTCCTCCACGTACGATCAAATTTTTGTCGCTAAGTGAGACATTTGTGAAGGGGAACCTTGCCCCATTTTACGACCTGCCCTGCCAACGTTGTTAAATGAATCACCGCCGAAGTTAAATTAGCCACCCGGTTGTTAAGTGAATCTTGCTTTCCCCCCCCATTGACTTTGCTTGTCAGAAGACTGCAAAAGGGGATCCATATGACCCCCGGGGGACACCGCGACCGTCCTAAATGCGAGTCCGTTGACAAGCATCTGAATTGGGATCACCTCATCGTGGTAAATGCTGCGACGGGCGTTACGTCTGGAAAAAAAGGTCCCTTTTTTCCCCAGTGCCGTTGTCCCTTTGAACCGTCCCTAAAATGTCGTTAAGTCAAGGACTAACTGTGTAAGGAAATCAAACCCTCTGGAAAACACCAGGGATTCAAGGAAAGCGGTTGTGCGAATGTGAATTCTAAGTTGTTTGTCGCGTCCCCTTGGAGCACAAGACGGGCAGCAGCTAAATTTGACTCTAATGAAAGAGAAAAATGCTTGTCAGCCTTTCCTTCTTCCGGGCCACCCCGTTATTTATTTATTTGCTTGATTTAATTTTTGCGCCGTTCATCTGCCTTATAAAGTGACCCGGATGCATTTAGTGGGCACATTGGAGCAGGGATTCCAGAGCAGAGTTCTTAAGATGCCTCAAGGCTGTTTGCCCTTGGCTAAACTTTTAATTTTAAGCCGTTGCACCCAGTGGGTGAGTGTTACAGTCCTTGACTTACAACCATTCCTGTTAGCGACGGTTTGAAATTAGAAAGGCACTGGGGAAAAAACTGACTTGCGACCAGTCCTCACACTTACGACCATTGCATCATTCCCCACAATTATGGGATCAAAATTCAGGCACTTGGCATCCAGCAGGTCCTGGGAATCATGTGATCACCCTTGGCGACCTTCCCAGCTGGCTCCTCCCAAGCCGAGTCAATGGAGGGGAGCTGGATTCGCTTACCAACCGTGTGATCCACCGCACTGCCGTGTTTCTCTGAACCACCGTGGCAAAAAAAAAAAAAAAAAAACAGTGGACGTAAACTCAAGCCCAGCTAGCTTAACAACAATCGGGATCAGCATTTCCACGGCGACGCAAAGCCGTGGTTTCGCCATGGAGATGCTGATCCCGATGGTGGACGTAACTCAAGGACGAGGGCAATAAGAGCCAAAACTATACAGGAACCTCCTAGCTGCTTTTTCCGATTAACCAGTTTTAATTCAAACGCATAGGAAAGGAGGCTTTGGATCGCAAGCTGGCTAGAATTTGGTTTAGACGGCCCCGGGACCACCCATTCACCGGATCAGAGGGGACAGATCCCCGCAGGGAGCAGTGAGAGTCAGCCGGCTGCCCGAAATTCTTTCCAGGGCCTCTCACCACCCCCTGATTTTCCATTGCAAATCAAAACAATCCGGGTCTGCTCTCCGGCGTTCAAACCAGGGGCAACCAGGAAGAATCTGACTCTCTCCAGGAAGAAACGGAGCCCAGCTGGAGCTGAAGGGACCCCTTTGGATCAGAGCTGGGCTACTGGAATTGGGAAGTGTGTGTGTGTGTCTGGGGGGGCGGGGGTTACAGTTTCTTTTATGCATTTACCCCATCAAAGGATCTGTTTGCTTGGAGAGACAGGGTAGAGCAACTTTAAGACCTGTGGACTTCAACTCCCAGAATTCCCCAGCCAGCCAGCCAGCCAGAATAGAGCTGGAAGGAACCTTGGAGGTCTTCTAGTCCAACCCCCTGTTCAAGCACCATTTCAGATAAACGTTTGTCCAATCTCTTCTTCAAAACCTCCAAGTGATGAAGCACCCACAACTTCTGGAGGCAGGTTGTTCCACTGTTTTTAATTGTTCTGACTATCAGGAAGTTTCTCCTTAGTTCTAGGTTGCTTCTCTCCTTGATCCATCTGTTGCGTCTTGTCCTGCCTTCAGGTGCTTCGGAGAATAGCTTGACTCCCTCTTCTTTGGGGCAGCCCCTGAGATATTGGAAGACTGCTATTATGTCACCCAATCAATCAGAATAGAGCTGGAAGGGACCTTGGAGGTCATCAAGTCCAACCCCCTGTTCAAGCACCATTTCAGACAAACGGTTGTCCAGTCTCTTCTTAAAAACCTTCCAGTTTTGCAGCACCCACAATGTCTGGTGGCCAGTCGTTCCACTGGTTAATTGTTCTGACAGTCAGGAAATTCCTCCTTAGTTCAAGGTTGCTTCTCTTCTTGATAAGTTTCCATCCCTTGCTTCTTGTCCTGCCTTCAGGGGCTTTGGAGAACAGGTTGACCCCCCCTCTTCTTTGGGGCAGCCCCTCAAATACTGGAATGCTGCTATCATGTCCCCCACCTCCCCCCCAGTCCTTAGAAGAAGCCAGAATGGATGGGTGGGGGGTCACCTGTTGCAAAAGGTGCTCAAGCATCATTTATGTGACCCATTAAGCTCTCCAGGTTTACATGAAGCACTAAATGGAACCCAAGTGATCACAGATTTCCCCCCCCCTGCAATTTCTGAACCCTAATTACTCTCCCACAGTTTATAGCGAATTATAGGGACTGCCACCTTGAGGTTCCCGCAAACCGGCTGGTCTGTATTTGAAACAATCAAGTCTATCTTATCTCAAGGAAGTGGTAGGTGGCTTACAAGGTTGTGTAAACAAGGGTCGCTTAGCCGCAGACTTTGGAATTGGGAGTTGAGAGAGGATAGCTTGCCCAAAGCTATCCCCCCCCCTCTTCCCGTATTACAGGTAGTCCTCAACTTATAACCATGTATCGACTGTTCAAAGCTATAACAGCACTGAAAAAAGAGACTGATGACCAATCCTCACACTTACGACCATCACAGCATCCTCAGGTCACATGATCAAACCTTGGGCACTTGGTAACCAGCTTGTACTGAGGCAAATTGCAGTGTTCCCGGGGTCCCTGGGATAGACCACTTGCGACCTTCCCAAGAGGCTTCCGACAAGCGAAGTTAACGGGGGAAAGCAGATTCAATTAATGACCGGTGATTCACTTAACAGCCGTGGAGGTTCACTTAACAACTTTGCCCCCCCCCGGAAAAAAAAGGTCATAAAATTGGGCACGATTCACTTAACAACTTCCCGGCTTAGCCAATGGAAAATCTGCTAGTAAAGAATTAGTAAAGGGGTTATATTATTATTTTTGGTTTTTAATTTGTTAATATTGATCTTGAAAAGGAGTTAAAGTTGGTTATGGATTTGATTGTTAGTAGAGTTGGGTAATGTTAGTTAGATTATGATTGTTTATTTGTAACCCTGTAATCAGCTCTGGGAAGTGGGGGAGTGGGGGAGGGATTTGGGTTATATACTATAAAAAATTTTTTAAAACTTTTAATAAAATATAAGAATTAGTAAAGGGGGAAGGAGAAGTGTTTGACTTTAGAAGAGACTGGACAATCATTGGTCTGAAATGATGTAGGGTTTCCTGCCTGAGCAGGAGGTTGGACTAGATGACCTCCAAGGTTCCTTCCAACTTTACCATTACTATTATTATTATTATTATTATTATTAACAACACTGCACAGTAGGCCAAGACTGATGTGTTCCCCCGTTTCTCTCTAAGCGATGTGCGTTAAGTAGAATTTGGAATTGTTTGCGCCTGTTGGAAACTGCATAGCCAACTTTTTAGCCACCTGCATTGCTCCAGTTTTGTGGTTGGGGGGGGGGTGTCTCTGGGATTCTCCTGGCTCCCATCCTGACACCAACACAACAGAACTCAGCTCACACAAAATAGGGGGTACCCAAACACACACTCACCTTCCTGGGTGTGGCTGATGCCCATTGAGCAGGCCAGCAGAGCAGCGAGGAAACACCAGCAAACTTGCTCCATCTTCTCCCAGCTTAGTGGCTCATCGGTGGAAGACGAAGAGGGGAGTAAAAAAAAAAAAAAATCCAGAAAAATCTGTTGGGAAAATCAGCTCTCTTCCCGAGCAGCAGCAGCAGCAGCAGTAGGATTCCGCCTTCACCCAATCCTTAAAAAGCGGCCGAAGAAATTGTCGCTGGAGTCCGAAAACAAGTGACGAAAGAAATCCACCGTGAAGTCAGCACCCAAGAGGGTCAGGCCAGCGATAGATCCAAAGTGGTTCTCCCTTCCCCACGGCGTGTCCGAAACTCCTGCCAAAAGTCTGGAATAATTCCTCAACTCAAAACATTTCTCTGTATCATTGAAAAAGAAGAAGAAAAAGGGAGGCAATTTGAGGGACTGTCCCAGGGAATTTCACACACACACCACACCCTGTCCCCTTTCAAAATTCCTGCATTAATTTGGTTTTCCCGGGTCTGGCTGGGCAAAATTGCAATTCTTCCTCAGCTCTGCTCCCCTGATGTCGGAGGAACAGCTATTTTTTTTCTTCTTCTTCTCCTTGGTTCAGTCTTGCGTTCCTTCAACTTCTGAGCCCCGATGAGTCTACTCAGACCCTACAGTAAATTTGCTTACTCAGGAGAGTTAACTTCTTGCTTACTCGAGAGAGGCAACCTCTCCGAAGAGACAGGGAGAGTTGAGTGAATGAGAAGAGATGGGGAAAGAACTTGCTTCCTTTTCTTGGCTCTCTCCCTGACACAGACACTCCTACACACAGCCGCAACCTTGTGCGATAGCAAAAAAGCAGCAGCAGCAGCAGAAAGAAGAGGCCTGAAAGATTAGCATAGCCGGCTGATTTGGGGCGGCAGGGAGGGGGTGGAAGGTGGGTGAGTGGCTGCCTTGGAAAAAAAAAACTAGAAAGAACAGAGAAAAAGGGTCCAAATTCCATCCGGCCGCAGAAGGGTTAAGGGGAGGAGGGCAAAAGGAGAAAAGAATTTTCCTTAAAGTTACACTCACCCACATTCTGCAAAGAGGACATGCCTGGATAGGAGCACCTTGAGAAAAGGGCAGAAAAAAGGAAGAAAGAAAAAAAACCTTCCCCAACTTTCCAGAGCCACCAGACAGAGGCAACCTTGCCCACCAAGTGAAAAAAGACAAGAAAATAATAATAATAATAATAATAATAATAATAATAATAATAATAATAATAATAATCAGAATTTAATGTTGTTTACGCCTGGCTAAGACACCACGGCATTGGGCGTCTCTGTCCGTCCACTTTTATGAGGGTCAAAGACCAGTCCGGGAGCTTCAGTAAATCAGTAATTCCCAATTTTCTGGAACACAGGTTGCTCTTGAGAATATTTCTGCCTTGGTTTTCGGAATGGGAAGACTCCTGGAATCTACAATGTGGAGGAGACAGACCCGGCGGATGCTGCTTGGTGAACAATGAGAAATTTCGGAATATTTTCTGCTGTCATTCAGCGGAAGGAATCAAACCTTCAGTACAGACTTTCCGAAAACTACTTTAGCCTTAAGCCGGAGAGGAATGTCACACACACACACACACACACACACACACACACACACACACATGGTTTTTGTTCACAGCAATTAGCTCATCTTACACAATCCCCTCTGAAGGGACCATTTCTGATCCTCTGAATCTGCCTGTACTTGTTCTCCCTTGAGTGACTCAGACAAGCCAACATTTGGAAGGAGGAATGAGAAACTGAACTGACCAGAATGACTCCCTTAACAACAATCATGTCAGTTACTTCCTTTAGGATCACTGAGGTCGGCGTATCTCAACCTCAGCAACTTTAAAATGGGTAGACGTCAAATTCAGAAGAGAGCTGGAAGGGACCTTGGAGGTCATCTAGTCCAACCCCCTGCTCAAGCAGGAGAGCCTGTGCAGTTTCAGACAAGGGGCGGTCCAGTCTCTTCTTAAAAACCTCCAACAACTTCTAGTGGCAAGCCGTTCCACTGATTAATTGTTCTTAGGAAATTTCTCCTTAATTCCACCTTGCTTCTCTCCTTGATTTGTTTCTTGCCCTGTCCTCTGGTGCTTTGGAGAAGAGGTTGACCCCCCTCTTCTTTGTGGCAGCCCCTCAAATACTGGAATACAGCTATCATGTTCCCCGCAGTCCTTCTTTTCACTAGACCAGCCATTCCCAAATCCTGCAACCGTTCTTCACACGTTTTAGCCTCCAGGCCTTCAACGAGATACCCATTGAAGGAGAGAACCAGTTTGAAAGTGAATTCCTGGCTCCGGCTTGTCCCAGAGGATGCTGGGACTTGTAGTCTCAGGCAACTCACCTGGTCAGCCTTTGCTGTGAAATCGATTTCAAGACAGGAGGAAAGGGATGGAAGGGTTCTCAGAGGTCATCCAGTCCAACCCACTTGTTTGCCCTCCCCTTGCCCCAAAGCAAGAGATAGAATCAGAAGAACGCGGAAAGCTAACAACACTGAAAAAATTTAGAGAACGCCATCTTTTTCCACTGCAGGAGATCGGAGAAAGAACTCTGAGGAATCTTAAAAACTTGGGTGCTGATTTCTTGTTAGTCTTCTCTACCATTTGCATCCTGCGGATTCCTCATTTCTCTTCCTCAATCCTCTGTTTGGTGAGAGGGCAGTCAAGCCCCCATCCCTCCCCCCTTAAATAAATGAAAGGTGAGATGAAAAGGCGTTAAAATGCCCCATTGTCTGTGATTTTGCGGAAGCTCAAACAAAGTATTTGCCCAGTTAGCCATTTAACTCACCGCAAAGAGAAACTGGGCAGCAAATCAGAAAACTGCCAATTTTCCCAAAGTCACTGAGAGCAATTTTAATCTTGCTTTACAGCAGAGCTGGATACTTTTTATTTTTTGAAGGATCACCTTAAAAACCCAATCTAATCCCACTCCCAACCCCAACCCTAGAGATAATAGAATAACAGGGCTGGAAGAGACCTTGGAGGTCATCTAGTCCAACCCCCTGCTCAGGCAGGAAACCTTGTACTATTTCAGACAAATGGCTGTCCAGTCTCTTCTTAAAAACCTCCAGTGTTGGAGCACCCAGAGCTTCTGGAGGCAGGTAGTTCCACTGGTTAATTGTTCTAACTGTCAGGAAATTCCTCCTTTAGTTCTGGGTTGCTTCTCTCCTTGATTAGTTTCCATCCGTTGCTTCTTGTCCTGCCTTCAGGCGCTTTGGAGACTCCCTTCTTTATGGCAGCCCCTCAAATATTCGCCGAACACCCCATCACCGAGGTGGCTCAATGAGGCCACCAGCAGAAGAAAAGTCAAAGCTTTCACCTCTTTTAGTGGATATTTTTTTTCTGAAAGTAAGAGATGTGCATGTCCCGGTTTCCTGACCCTTTTAGCCAGCTCAACCACGCGAAATTGCATCCCTCGGAGGGTGTCTCCAGCTAAGCCACTGAAACACAACCGCCTTGGGCCAAGCAGAGCTGAGTCTTGGTGCCAAAGATGGGCAGGCAGTTGTCAGACAGGTGAAGATCAGTCCTGGCCAGGGGATAAAATGATGTGATAGAGACGATTACGTATCTGCTAAAGATACGCTCACAGTTAAAAGGACTTGCTCCTTTGGAAACACAGCCTGGAGCTGGCGACAGCAAACAGAGACAGACAATATAAGGCAGGAGTCTTCAAACTTGGCACTTTTATGACTTGTGGACTTCAACTCCCAGAATTCCTCAGCCAGTGTGCCTGGCTGAGGAATTCTGGGAGTTGAAATCCACAAGTCATAAAAGGGCCAAGTTAGAGGACCCCTGAGGTAAGGTCTCTGATTTTGCTTAATGATCATAACCAGCTTTCTCTGGCCCAACTATGGAAGTTGATTTCCCCCCCCCCAAAAAAAATTATTTATGTCCTGCCTTTTTGATTTGTTTTTCTACAAATAATTCAAGGTGTGGCGAACATATCAAACACACCTTCCTCCTTCTATTTTCCCCACAACGACCCGGTGAGGTGGGTTGATCTGAGAGAGAGGGTGATTGGCTCAAAGTCACCCAGCCAAGTCAATGGGGGAAGCCAGATTCACTTAACAACCGGGTGACTAATTTAACGACTGCCCTGATCCACTTAAGAAAGGTCGCGAGAAAAGTCGTCAAATGGGGCAAAACTCACTCAATAAATTTCTCACTTAGCAACGTCACATTTCGGGCTCGGCTGCGGTCGTAAGTTGAGGACTCCCTGCATCTTCCTTCCTTTCTGAACTCAGAAAGCACCGGCTGTTTTCTGGCTGACCTCAGGAGGGGAAGCGGACCTCGGCCTCTGCGCAGACAACAGCCGTTGTCTTGTCCAGGACTTGATAACATGACCCTGAAAAGGGGTTTCCAGGGACACCAAGTTTCCCTCGAGGCGGCAAAGATAACAAGCCTACATTCTCCTGCCAGTGGAGGAACCAAGAAGCATAAGGAAAAAAGGCAAGGATTGTTTTGGGCGCCTGAAAAAAAACAAATCCCTCTTTTTCCCATGAATTTCCAGCGTTGGGTTCTTTGGTCCCTGGAGCGCCCCCTGGTGAGAATATTTCAGTACTGCGCTTGCATTCAAACCCCCCCCCCATTTCTGAACTTCATGGTGCCCCCCCCCCATGCTTCCCCCTAACACAGGGGTAGGCAACCTTGGCTCTTTTATGACTCATGAACTTCAACTCCCAGAATTCCTGAGTCAGCATAGCTGACTAAAAGAGCCGAGGTTGCCTACCCCTGCCCTAACAGATATAGAGTGTTTTGCATTTTTAACAAATATATTGGCAATGAAGAGAGAGTTGAATCCCACCTTAGGTACGAAAGCCGGTTGGGTGACTTTGGGCCAATCACCAGGAGACCGTGAGTTCGAGTCTTGCCTTAGGCCCAAAAGCCAGCTGGGAGACTTTTGGACACAAATTCCTTGTCTGTCCAATCACACTTGGCCAGTAAAGAATCCTAATCCTAATAATTCTAATTCTAATAATTCTAATTCTATCTCATAATAAACTTTAATTTGAAAAAAAAATGAAAATGAAAAGATATTCTTCCAATATCTCAGGGGCTGCCCCAAAGAAGAGGGAGTCAAGCTATTCTCCAAAGCGCCTGAAGGCAGAACAAGAAGCAATGGATGGAAACTGACCAAAGAGAGAAGCAACCTGGAACTAAGGAGGAATTTCCTGATAGTGAGAACAATTAATTAGTGGAACAACCTGCCTCCAGAAGCTGTGAATGCTCCAACACTGGAAGTTTTCAAGAAGAGACTGGACAGCCATTTGTCTGAAATGGTATAGGGTTTCCTGCCTGAGCAGGGGGTTGGACTTGATGACCTCCAAGGTCCCTTCCAACTTTATTATTATTATTATTATTATTATTAAGAAGCACCAGATGGAAACTGATCAAGGAGAGAAGCAGCCTAGAACTAAGGAGAAACTTCCTGACAGTAAGAACAATGAACCAGTGGAACCACCTGCCTCCAGAAGCGGTGAAAGTTCCAACCGTGGAAGTTTTTAAGAAGAGACTGGACAGCCGTTTGTCCGAAATGGGATAGGGTTTCCTGCCTGAGCAGGGGGTTGGACTAGATGACCTCCAAGGTCCCTTCCACCTCTGTTATTCCCTTATACTCTCTCCGGAGGTTATTTGCACCCTGTTCAGCAGGGGAATGGCCCTGTCCACTTTGGTGCCCTCCAGAGGAGAGGAAATTCTCCGGAAGAGCAATTTTTGCAGATTTTGCTAGCCGCTGAATCCAACCCTTTCTTTCTTTTGGCCGACCTACATCACGTGTTGAGTCACCAAGTATTTAAGGTCAAGCAAACAAGCCCCTCGCTCCCTGGGGGCTTCTGAAGGACCTGAACCTGATGCCGAGGAGCAGGAGGAGTTAAGTTATCTGGGACAACTTAGAAAGAGGAAGAATGTG